CATAATGTTACAGTCAAAATAAAAGCATGATTGGCGTGGATTTTGGGTACAGGGAGGTTAGGAAATGGACAGCGTCACAGGGGTGGGAATTATCCGATGCGGGCGTGTTCGCTACAAAACCGGCGAGGGCGGGAGCGCACAGTCACTATTCGTTTCTGAAGAAAATACCGAGCAAGATTGGATCGTTAGGGTGTGAAGTGGCGGGCAAGAAAACAAATCAGGAGAGGGTAAAACAAGGGGCTCTCCGCCTAACACATGACAAGAAAAATTTAATGGTTAAAATGAGGAACCCGAACATTATATCCGGTGAAGCAGCAGAGTTGGCTTTGGTGGGCCGTTCATATTGAACTAAAACCTAATACCACCGCTGAGACCTCGTGGCCTTGGACTGTTGGGCTCATGACCAGAGTCACAAAAAGCCTAATTAGCGCTAATAAAATGGAGGGATTCGAAAAGCGGATAACTGGTAACAGGAATCTCAGTGGAATTGTAGAGTCTCACCGGTATCGCCTTTGGGGAGTCAGGCATAATAGTTTCTTGGGGGAGTGAGATGATGGCAACACACGAGGTGAAATGCGACCTGTATAGAAAGTTATTGATTTTTTCGGGAAGCACTGACACACAGAAAGGGTTAAATTTGAACTAAAAGTTTAGCGAATTGGAATGAACATGTCATTAATGCAGCTGGTGTCAGTTGGGAGTTTTTTCGTATTTAAGTGGAATGGAATGAGTGAGCGAGACGGTACTGTCGAGAGAAGGAAGGGAATAGTTGTGAGTGTGCTATTTAACTGGGTATGGCAGTGCAATCGTTGGCAAGGTAGAACCAAGCCGATATAAGGTCGCGTGTTTTTTTGGTCCATTTAGGGATCCTAAGGACGTAGATCATAGGCCAGGTGGAGTTAATAACAACCAACCAGGCCTTCCAAACTGAGCATTGCCGAAGCTCGTAGCTCGGGAATATGAGAGGATGGATGGGATTAGTTTGAGTAGACATCAAGTGGGATAATTTGCGTTAACATATATAGAACAAAAAACTTGATGCCTACCGCGATTAGGGCGATGACAGCAAGTGATTTTATGGGATGAGATAGGGATGGATTTGTACTTAGTATACAGGGGATCAAAGGTTGTGTTTGCTACGAGATGTTTAAGGGCTGATGGGATTGAACTCCTGGGATGATGGACTAGTTGGCGTTACTGTTATCTGCTTTCTGAGTTTGAGTCACGCGTGCCAATCCAGGAAAACGATCAAGAAATCCGAATTCTGGAATCATCGTACTCAACGGATTCTCCTCTGCAGATACCGTAAGGTTACAAAATAGGGCGGTAAGATTACCAGCCTGAGGATAGACGCAGATCACTTCGCCTCAAAATCGAAATCGTCACAACCAAACAGATATCGACGGCAAGCCACCGGCAAAAATGATAATGTCCGACCAAAGTCCGTAAGAATTATAGAAATGGTTCAGTAAAACAAAAAGGTTTCAGTCCATCTAATCAAGGGGAATAACTATGGGGATTGGCTGTCACATGGGGTTGGAAACGGGAGCACATTGTTGGCAAGCTGTCTTCTACAGTTGCTCCGGTGTTTATCACATGAGCCGGATAGTACCAGGGGAGCAAGCCAGTGTAAGAGAAATGGTCATTGGTCCCCGAAGCACTGCTGTGAGCTTCAAGCCAACAGGCGGCGCATGGCAAATGAAAAGCCTTTGGGCACTAGTCTTGCACACTGGTGGCGGAGAGTTGGGGATACCCGTTTACACACCCTTCTCATTGTATGTTTACTCATGTGAGCAGTAGGTATGTTCGTGTGTTTTGTTTGGTTGACCAAGTGGGCTGTGGAGCAGTACAACCGTAATTGCGCCAAGGGCAGCTACAGCCTCGAACGTCGATTTAAGCCATGAGCATCACAGATTCTCCAGGCCATTCCGTCTGTAACGGTCGAACGGTATCTTCGAGTGACGCGTAGTACCAGAACCTCCGGGTAGGCAAAACAAAGTCGGAGCTGGGTTTCTATACGGTACTATTAGGGTAAGAGAAATTCACAATTTGTACAAACCTCGACAGTAGATACGCGTCCAAAACAAACAGTCCGCTTGGACTTCAAAAGTGCAAAGCAAGGGAGCAAACAGGCTCCAACGTGCGACAGTCACACGCGCAAAGTCAGATACAAATGGCCGGATGACCTCAAGGCCAAATGGGTGAAGTGGTAAGGACAAACAAAAGTCAGTTCATATATACACACTAAACACAAAAATGGGGCGGGG